CGCTGGTATTCAGCAATTCTCCAAGGTCGGGGATAACTGCCTGGTCTTCACTGATTCCTTTGAGCAGCACCTGGAACGAACTCGTGAAGTTCTTCAACACGCTTGTCGGTGTGGTATCACCCTGTCAGCCAAGAAGTTTGCATTCGCCGAGACCGAGATCAACTTCTGCGGCTACGTGACAAACAAGTCCGGCTGGAAGACAGACCAGGAAAAGACCCGCGCTATCACCGACTTCGAGATCCCTGCCAATCGCACTGACTTGCGATCATTCATGGGTCTCGTCAACCAGTGCAGTGATTTCAGCTCAGCCATCGCCGAACACGCAGCACCTCTCCGCGGTCTGCTGAAAGCCAAGAATGAGTTTCTATCTGGACAAGCCATCCGTGCAACGTACCAACCGTCGTGCGCGTCAAGTGGCTTACTGGCCGAGGATGAGTGATGACATCACAGCCCTGATCCGTGCCTGCCCTGTCTGTCGTGAGCTCCAACGTTCGCAGCAGAAGGAGCCATTGATGCGCGAGCCACAGCCGACATTTCCATTCGGGTATGCCAGCGCAGATCTCTTCTCCTGCCAAGGCTGGCAGTTCCTGGTATATTCAGACCGTCTGTCCGGCTGGCCGTGTGTAGCTCGAATTGGCCGTATCGCTACCTCTCATGACATCATTTGTCACTTCCGCCGTTGGTTCGCAGATGTTGGCGTACCGCGCAAGATATTCACAGATGGAGGCCCGCAGTTTGCCGCTTCCCGTGTACGTGACTTCTGTGAGCGATGGGGTGTGGAACAGTGCTTTTCCACCCCACACTACCCTCAATCCAATGGCCACGCGGATTCAGCAGTGAATGCAGTGAAACTGCTCATTGAGAAGACGACCCAGAACGGAGATCAGGATGTGGACTCCTTCCAACGCAGCTTGTTGGAATGGCGCAATACTCTCCGCCCTAATGGCAGCAGGTGTTATCCCTATGTGGTTAGCCAGGGTATTGTCAGCGACAATGGATAAACACCCAAGTGTTGTTCCGTCAGTTCCTCCAGTCGTTTGTGTTCGCCCACCGTGCCAGCTTTGATCGACTGGATTGCGTCTGCTCAAGTTGTGGACTCTGTAGATCCGAAAACACATTATGACAAATCGGCACGCTCTCTCCATTCTCTACGGATTGGCACCCACGTTGATGTTCAGCACCACCAGACCAAGCTGTGGTCCATGCATGGCATTATTGTAGCAATTGGCAGTCGGCGCGACAACTTCGTCAAGATGCCTAGTGGCAGTGTCCTCTGGCGTAATCGCTGCTTTCTCCGTCCGTATGTTCCCCCATGTGTTGACTCCGCTAGTCATACCCCTTCTCCAAGTTCATCAGTACGTGTACCTACTGACGCCGCTACCCAGCCTGTTCGTCGTAGCACTCGTATTCGCAAGACGCCTGACCGTCTCACCATTACATCTACGTCTGGACAGTCATATGTGTGACACTGTTTGTCTGTAGCATTTGGTCTCATCTTGACATCATGTCTATGTCATTTCATCTCGTCTGTTATGACTTTATTTATTTATTTATTTTTGTTGAGACAAAACCAGGTTTTATCTCAGAAGGGGCGTGAGAGTATAATATTATTATTACCAGGTATGTTACTGTTTAGGAATGGGTTTGCTCCCACACAAAATCATCGCCGAAGTCGCAACCTCTATTTCGTATGTTACTGTGTTTGTTATTTTGTGTCTGGTTGACACCCATGGAATTTTATCTTCGAAGGGGCGTGTTATGTTATGACGTAATGCCGTACAACTTTAGCTCTACTGTGTATGCACGCACGCATATCTTTGAAAGTCTTCTCTGTCGTTTACAGATTGGATTTTGTCAGTTTTTCTACTTCGTGTATTCTAACTAATAAACTACTTGTCTCTTGTCTACCGAACCTAACACACACTTCGGACAGTGGAGCACGCTACTTCATCACGTAATTACCTTGAATAACAACATCTACATGAAGTGAAGTTGGCAACCTGGTCGTAAGATGTTCACCGATCGAATGTACGAAACTGCGATCGGATCATTTTATGTTTCAAAGGATGACGACCAGCTATCATTCTCTCAGCATTATTTTGTGCTCAACGTCGCTAGCTGGTCAATAAACAGTGTTAAATCATCATGGGTGTTTATCCATTGTCGCTGACAATACCCTGGCTAACCACATAGGGATAACAGGTTGATCCCCGATAAAGATATCCATTTTACCTTGTTAGCCCTTCTGTAGAAGCAGGGTGTATGGATTCAAACTGGACTCGATTCTCACTCTGAGATCCTGGGAACGCATTTTCCGACACCACAATGCATTGATTCAGCTATTTATAATGAGGTTTTGCACCTGTGGTGTGTTTTGGTACTCGCCCGATTAGTGCCCCCGCGTAACTATTTTTTTCAATGTCCATGATAGATGGGGCACTATTCAAGAGCGGGCACTATTCAAGAGAGGGCGCTATTTTTCAATGCTGGTACATTTACACGTACATGTACGTGATCCAGCATAAAAAGAAGGCAAAGAAAAACAGAGCCTTAAGTGAACTGTAAACTATGATGACTCAACCGAAAGGCCAACAAAAACTGAGATTTTGATCCTGAAACCACCAGTGCAATGACATAGACAAGAACATTACTAAATGAACACCAAACTTGGTTACAAGCCCAGGATGGAGGGGGAGGGGGGGCACTATTCAAGAAAGGGCTCTATTTTTCACTGATTCTTAGAGACAGGGGCGTTATTCGAGATAGGGCACTATTGAAGCCAGGGCTCTGCTCGCACGAGTACGGTAACTGGCAAGGAGAACTGAAAACGAAGAACTGCGTTCGTGGAAACATTAAACATGACGGGATGCACCAACTCGACATACTTACCCTCACGGACATGCTGCTAGACAACCGATTCATGAAACTGTCATATGTGTCCAAGTGAATTGATATCATCTCTCCAGCAGCTGGGTATAAGACCAATGAACCCAGGTAGTCTGGGTAATAAGTGTGCCATCGCCGACTAGGCCCCTCTCGCCATTTACCATTTTTCCAATCCTGCCCCGCTGCATGAACCCAGGGAAGGCTCCAACTGTCCTGGCCAATGAACGTGTTTGTCAATGAGTCTCGGTGGCTCATTAGTTGATCCCGAAGAGCTATCAGAGCCTCGTCTTTGGCTTCACGACCTTGTCTGCATTGTGGAAATGTTCATAGAGAAGGGATTGAGAGAGAATACTGTCGCACTTTAATATGGTGTACGGTCAATATAGAAAAGTAGAGCAAGCAATCTAGTATGCCCACTTTCGCAAGACACTATGATTTTGCCTCACATTCGTTCCTTGCCCCAATAAATCGAATAAGAGAGGGAGAAAGAGATAGATAGAGAGAGAGAGGGAGAGACAGAGAGAGCGAGGGATACAAAGAGAGACATATACAGAGACAGAGGGAGAAAGAGAAAAGAGAGATAATAGAGAGAGAGGGAGACAGAGAAAAGAGAGATAATAGAGAGAGATAGAGGGAGACAGACCTAAAGACAGGTCGGCTTACAGAGAGACAGACAGAGACAAACACAGAGAGGCAAGGAATGGGAAAGAGAGGGGTAGAGATGGGGTGAGAGAAAAGGAATTTGTGCGTTAGCTTGTGTGCGTGAATGTGCGTGTGTGTGCGGGAGGGGTGTCGTTGTTAAACGAGATTACACGTTGTGGAGGAGACCTACCTGATATGTTTCAAAGCCTCCAAAATAGCGGTTCCGTTGCACTGCTTCCTAGAATAGAGCCATGTTGCTCCCCGTTGCTTGATGCATTCGGCGCTGGAGTGACGGAACAAAATCCAGGTAGGCTTGCCTTTAGCTAGGTTTTCAAATTCCCCAAACCTCTTGATTAACAGTGCAGTGAAATTGGAGCCTGTGCAGATTACTCTGTGATTAGTGCTGTGAACAGGAGTGCCTGAACACGAAGCAGCTGAATACATGCCATAGGCATTACACTCAGTTGAAGTATTATACGCTGACGTTGCTGGACGTGGACTGTCACATATGAACCTCAGTTGCTTTTCATTGTTTTCAACTTGAATGGAATAGGGAAGAACAGGATTCTTGGGTCTGTAGCTGAAGTCCTGGGACTGGGGAGAGAGAAATGACAGAGTGCACAGCCATTGATGTTAGGTTCGGTTGACAAGAGACAAGTAGTTTATTATTCAGAATACACGAAGTCGAAAAACTGACAAGATTCAACCTGTAAACGACAGAGAAGACTTTCAAAGATATGCGTGCGTGCATACACAGTAGAGCTAAAGTTGTACGGCATTACGTCATAACATAACACGCCCCTTCGAAGATAAAATTCCATGGGTGTCAACCGGACACAACATAACAAACACAGTAACATAATAATAATTATACTCTCACGCCCCTTCTGAGATAAAATCTAGTTTTGTCTCAACAAAAATAAATAAATAAATAAAGTCATAACAGACGAGATGAAATGACATAGGCATGATGTCAAGATGAGACCAAATGCTACAGACAAACAGTGTCACACATATGACTGTCCAAACGTAGATGTAATGGTGAGACGGTCAGGCGTCTTGCGAATACGAGTGCTATGACGAAACGGCTGGGTAGCGGCGTCAGTAGGTACACGTACTGATGAACTTGGAGAAGGGGTATGACTAGCGGAGTCAACACATGGGGGAACATACGGACGGAGAAAGCAGCGATTACGCCAGAGGACACTGCCACTAGGCATCTTGACGAAGTTGTCGCGCCGACTGCCAATTGCTACAATAATGCCATGCATGGACCACAGCTTGGTCTGGTGGTGCTGAACATCAACGTGGGTGCCAATCCGTAGAGAATGGAGAGAGCGTGCCGATTTGTCATAATGTGTTTTCGGATCTACAGAGTCCACAACTTGAGCAGACGCAATCCAGTCGATCAAAGCTGGCACGGTGGGCGAACACAAACGACTGGAGGAACTGACGGAACAACACTTGGGTGTTTATCCATTGTCGCTGACAATACCCTGGCTAACCACATAGGGATAACACCTGCTGCCATTAGGGCGGAGAGTATTGCGCCATTCCAACAAGCTGCGTTGGAAGGAGTCCACATCCTGATCTCCGTTCTGGGTCGTCTTCTCAATGAGCAGTTTCACTGCATTCACTGCTGAATCCGCGTGGCCATTGGATTGAGGGTAGTGTGGGGTGGAAAAGCACTGTTCCACACCCCATCGCTCACAGAAGTCACGTACACGGGAAGCGGCAAACTGCGGGCCTCCATCTGTGAATATCTTGCGCGGTACGCCAACATCTGCGAACCAACGGCGGAAGTGACAAATGATGTCATGAGAGGTAGCGGTACGGCCAATTCGAGCTACACACGGCCAGCCGGACAGACGGTCTGAATATACCAGGAACTGCCAGCCTTGGCAGGAGAAGAGATCTGCGCTGGCATACCCGAATGGAAATGTCGGCTGTGGCTCGCGCATCAATGGCTCCTTCTGCTGCGAACGTTGGAGCTCACGACAGACAGGGCAGGCACAGATCAGGGCTGTGATGTCATCACTCATCCTCGGCCAGTAAACCACTTGAGGCGCACGACGGTTGGTACGTTGCACGGATGGCTTGTCCAGATAGAAACTCATTCTTGGCTTTCAGCAGACCGCGGAGAGGTGCTGCATGTTCGGCGATGGCTGAGCTGAAATCACTGCACTGGTTGACGAGACCCATGAATGATCGCAAGTCAGTGCGATTGGCAGGGATCTCGAAGTCGGTGATAGCGCGGGTCTTTTCCTGGTCTGTCTTCCAGCCGGACTTGTTTGTCACGTAGCCGCAGAAGTTGATCTCGGTCTCGGCGAATGCAAACTTCTTGGCTGACAGGGTGATACCACACCGACAAGCGTGTTGAAGAACTTCACGAGTTCGTTCCAGGTGCTGCTCAAAGGAATCAGTGAAGACCAGGCAGTTATCCCCGACCTTGGAGAATTGCTGAATACCAGCGAATGCTGCGTCGGTCCGCTGGTTGAATTCGTCGCCAGCAGAAATCAGACCTTGTCGGTTCCGCAGGTACTGATATCTGCCCCACTGTGTGATGAATGTGGTCACGCTTCTGGACTCGTCGTCCAAGGGGACCTGCCCTTAGCCGTGGCGAGCATCCAGCTTTGTAAAATACTGGGCGTTACCAAGGTTAGAAACGACATCTCGAGGTGCGCGCATGGGATGCGCGGGCCGGGCAACTTGCTTGTTAAGCTTAGTGAAATCCAGCGTCATCCGGACTTCTGCAGTGCCTTTCTTTTCGGCTATTACGATGGGGTGACACCACTCCGTTGGCTCTGAGACCGGTGCGATGATGCCATCTGCGACCATCTTGTCCAGCTGGAGTTTCACCTGGTCACGATAGGCGTAAGGTAACGAACGGGCATTGTTCCTGGCGGACACGTACACGCTGGCCTGGTGTAGGGTTGCTGTGCTCTGCAGAACGGGATGTCTCTTGTGTCACTGAAGCGATCTGTGGCCAGTTAGGCGGCAAGAAACCTAACGCCTTGAGCGATGAGCGCGACAACAATGCACTACTGAGTTCGTCATACACATGTAGACGAGTGGTGTGTGACATCACGAGCGACAACCCTGGCGGAAACAGTTCCCAAGCTGGTCAATGGCTGACCGTTCACGGCGACAACATGGTCGGGGTCAGGTTCCAGATCAGCTACACTGCCACCAAGTCTGCGGAGATGACTAGCACCAATAGCATCAACCAGTATCTGGCAACCACTCTAACGTGCACGACCAGTCGTTGTCGTCAAGACGTGTTGACAGCATCACTTTGTCATCAGCCTGTACTGCGTGAATGGTGAGGCATGCGATGGTCTTGCGGCACATTGTCGCGAAGTGGTCCCTGCCCTTGCACTTACGGCACACTTTGCCCTTGGCAGGACACATTGACTTCGTGTGCTGGGATCGTCCGCACTGCGAGCACTTCGCCGGCTTGTCAGCTGCAGCAGATTTCGGCTTACTAACCAAAGCGGATTTGCTGCGTTGATACGACGACCTTGTTGCGGCATTCACGGATGCCGGTACCATGCCGTCACCGGTCTGCTGTGCGGCTTCCTCAGCCCTGCAGATCTTCGCCGCGGTTTCCAGGGTGAGGGACGGAGCTGCCAGGAGTTTATGGCGCGTGTCGTTGTTGGCTATGCCAACTACGATGCGGTCCGGCATCATGTCGCCCGTCAAGTTGCGGAGACTCTGCACAGCTGAGGTGTACATGTGCTGCACAGCTCCATATCAGGGAAATCGCACTGTGCAAACAGTTCCCTCATTGCAGTAAAGAAGGAGTCAAACAATTCATTGCGCTTCTGCTTTCTATTGTAAAACGCAATTCGATCTAGGAGGGGGTTCCGCTGGCGTCAGATGTACGCTTTTACTGCTATGATGATCTCCGAGCATCGGCAATGTGGGAGATGACAATCACATCTTCGCGCATGAAACGACGAATGTCGGCATCGAACGGCTGGCGAAGAGCTGACACCCGAGTCTCACGACTTTGGCTGGCGAGGTGCTGGCACACAGCATAATCTTTCCAAGCCTCCTCCCATCCCGTGAAACCGGCCATGGTTGCAGTGCTGAGCAATACGGGTCGCTCGACAGAAATCGGCTTGTGACTGTAGGATGTTGAGGTGCTGAGTGGTGCCTGGTTGTCGCGCGTTGCGTTTTCGACCAGTGTGGTGAGGCGAGTCTCGCGTGCCTCGGCCGCTTTCATCTGCTGCTGCATCAAGGCGAGCAGGGATGCAATTTCAGCACTGATAGGGGAAATTCCAGGTTCCGCCATCACAACAATTCTACAGATGAGCCGCAGCCAGCAAAAATGGTACTATAGCGTGAATTTTTGGAAAACGGTATTTTTGCTCCAAAACACTTCTTCATAATTTTTATGTGAATTATCATTCCTGATAGTTTGAACGTATTCTAAGGTGCTGGGGGTGGTTAAATACCACTATATGTACAAGGGTGTCCAGATTGGCAATTGATGTCAGCTTACTTCTGCATTATAGTTAGTTATAAGTCCTCTGCCATGCCCTCGGCCTCTTCTTGGCCTGTGGCATTGCTCCAGGGTGCTTCTGAGTCTTGGCCCAGGTATTGCTTGATCTCCTTGTTTAGGTACAGCAGCCTTGTATCACTGATACCACCTGGTGGCAAGGTTGTGGGCAGGCCGCTTGCAGCGACAGCAGCAGAGTTGGTGGACGAGCGCATTTGCCTCATCTCAATCTCATCTGCTTGGCAGTGCTTCTTCATGCAAACGACACCAGGAGATTCCCGTGCAAACTTGAAGTGCTGGAAAGTTGTTATGCGTGGAATCGGCGTGAACATCTTGTCCAGGTGTTTATCCCACGCGTACCAGGTCCAGCTGTAGCGTTCTGCTAGGTTGCCTTTGCAGGAGGACTCCACTGCTTGGACGACATCTGCCATCGAATCAACTTTGGAGGCTCGGAATTTCTGCTTCAAACAGTACAGCCGAACTTGGCGTCAATACTACATCTAGTGTGACCAACTCGCATGAAAGAAATTTGAATGCTGGTATTTTAGGCATGATAGCACACGCCAGCTGAAGTATGCCATGACTGATCGTTTCTTGTTCTGCCCAACGCAGTTATCAGCATGAAACATCAAGGATGGCTCCTTGGAACGCTTCTCCAAATAATGGTGGAGCATGCTGATAACCGCGTTGGGACCATGAGCAAGCCGTCCATCACAGCCAATGCTCTCTGCTTCATTGAACAAGTAATTTACTTGCTGATTGCATGCCTCATCACAAATTCCAAATAATTGTATCTTAAATCTGGACTTGAAATACAATGGGCCCACCTGGCGAGTGTGCTGAGGTAGCTCAAGCTGTTGGGCGAAGTCGAAAGTGATGTGGGTAGAAGATGCCTGTGTATCTGTATCCGTTGTTTGGCTTAGCTCATCCCTGGCATCACTAATTGATTTGTTGTAGTACTGCAGTTCATCATCAGCCTCCTGCATGTGAGCTGAAAGTTGCTCCATGGCCAGGCCGGTGGTCTCCTCTGTCTTTGCATGCCTGACATTCTCACGCAGCCGCTCACAGCATGCGCAAACATCAGATCTCTGCTTCATGATGCATATATCTGGAGTATTAGCTTTCCAAAGCCGTTTGAACGTGGTCAGACTAATAGGATGTGCACCTTCAGAATCACAGTATAGACAATGAATTTATTTCTTTGTACAACTAGCAAGAAGATATGTGGGCGCCTATGCTGCGCGTCCCCTGGGTGCTGCTGGTTGCGGCATTCCATAACGAGATGCATAGTTTTTGATAACCTGCACAACATTGTAAGCCACTGCAGTAGGTAAGATGTTGGGCGGGGGTTTGCCCTTACTCTTGCTGCTCTGTGGCGTTGTAAGTAGATGTTCAGCGTCTTCTTGTAATTTACGGAGTAGAGTATGCGACAATCCATGTGCATCTTGGAACACTTCACGGCAGACGACAACACCAAGCATTGCATATGTGAACGAAAATTTGCGAGAACTTGCAGTTGCAGCTCCAGCGCTGGGGCTAGATATTCTCATTATCGCTGCAAGTTCGCCCAGCACTTACCGCTTCAGCTCACTCCTCTTCATTGCTCTCAAGTTACATACCAGTTCCTCGAGCTGGTCCGGAGGTAGCTTGGTCCAATGATTCACTTTGCATTTGCAACCGATGTCCAGTGCGTCGCGTATCATCGCCGCTGCCGCTCCACTTGCTGCACTCGTTCCATCGCTAGTGGTATCCTCTGCATCGCTGAAATACTCGTCATCGCTGCTCTGCGACTCCAGAGGTAAACAGGTCCGCTTTTCTGCAGGTGTGTCCGAATTTGAGTGACTATTGTCTGAGCCAGACGATTCAGCGATCGTATCACTGCTGTTTAGGCCGTAACAACTTTCGTCATGTTCCCGTAGCGCAGCGAGGTCGTCAACGCTCGCACCGCAAATTTCTAGGCTTCGTATTCTACTCGTGCATGCCATGACACTCTGTGGCTTCTCTAATTTCAGTACGCGTCTTGCATGCACTCACACTTGTTGAAAGATGAAGTTGCGCCACTTGATACCTTGTCAAGATGAAAACAAAATCTTGAAGCGATCCTCCTCAAGGAAACAACTCGTAAAAAGTACAAAAATCAGCTCAACTGAAAATGATTTTTTTCAATCCGCGATATTCATGTTAAAACAAAATGGCGTCACGATTTATTGAAAGTGGTATAGTTGGTGGTACGAGTGTTCAAACCCATTTGAACTTCATCCTGTTCGTCTTCTTTTTGACATGCTCTCTTTCCATCGTCCTTAGCTTTTGTTAGTTGAGAGCTGTTTTGGCTTTCTCCTATACCTCTGGGGGATGCCAAGTGATGGTTTTGAGAGGCTGGTGATGGCTGTGAGCGAGAGTTTGCCGATCGGCGTCGTCCTCGCTATAGCGATGAAAATACTAGTTACTGCGCACCTG